AAATTTTGTGGAAGCCTTAGATGGCAATTAGGAAGTTTAAACCACTTTAATGCACTAAAAGTAACAATTCGTAATCACACTGAACCTTCTTTGGAAAACTTTGTTTTGATACTAGCCAGGGCAGATATACTATTACCTCTTTTACTTGGTTTAGTGATCTTCATTGTTATTTTGACGTTCAATATAGTCTCTTTAACTTGACCTATGTCTATATTCTCACCTCTTTGTTTTTTTCCTTCACGTTCCCTAGTGGAACATAGGGCTCCAAGCTAGTGGCTTGGAGTTTCGGTCGCAGTGTTTATTTTACAGGATGGGGTTGCTAGCCTCATGCCCAACCTTCCTTCTTCACCAGCATTATTTCTGGCATAGTGAGGTAAAGGAGTGCGTCGGCCGGGATTCGAACCCCGGACCGTGTGCACGGTCGGTGAGCGTCCTAACCGCTATGCCACCGACGAACCACCTCTTTGTAAATTTCATATATATTCCTATGCCAAGTCCGTGTGTGATCAGATTGTTCGAAATGTGTTGCGTTCAAATACACAATACACGACTGAGACAAATTATGTCTTCCTATTGCTTTGTCATAAAGGGAACTTACTGTTTTAAGTTATTATAGTTATTAAATAGGACTACAGATTCTACCACTTAGATAAACGTTGTTGGAGACCTACCAATCAGCCATGCAGTAATTTTTTCCCATTTCTTGCTTTCCGAGGGTAACACAGGGCTTCATGCTTGCTAAAAACTAGTGAATTGGGAGAGGTTTTAGAATGGATCTGCTGGGAATCGAACCCAGACTACGTGGGTGATTGTCAGTCATGATATCATTGTACTACTGATGCACTGATGTGTAGTATAACCAGTTATATTCCTTGTGTTCCAAATGTCATATAGTTTCCACGTGCTGCAATCCTGTTGTTTTTACAGGATGGGATGCTAGTCTCACATCCAGTCTACCCTCCTATCAGAAGCAGGAATCGAACTTCTAAGCCTCATCTAGTTTTCTAGCCGATTGTAAGACCAGAAGAGTGAAAAGTATGGACGTGAGGCTGTCAATGAGTTAATGGAAACATCAGTGTTTAACTGCTATCTAATTTGCACGAGTATTTGACAATGGAGCTTAAGCTCACCAACGATTTTGTATAACATCTTAAAATAAATGAAAAGTTTTGTGTAGGCCATCAGTGAACTCTGACCTTCCACGGATCACGAAGAAGGACAGAGCCATGTAGAATCTGAACAGCGTAAATAGTCAAGTACCTGCAATGCTTAGTCGTAGCCAGACTATCTTCACAGTAAGATCCTTCACACCGGCTTTGGATGATTTCAGATGGGAATCCTGAAGTTGGGTGAGTTCTAACTGTCAGTAAACACAAGTAATTTAGTTCTATCCTTTCGAATGATCAATCCCACAAAGTACCAAAACAGGCATTCTCTTCTCACATATAACAGAAATTACTAAAAGAGATTGCTTCATAACGACAAAGGCATCTCTACTTAAAATCATTTCTTCTGAAAGCACATTAACCGGATGGTCACCCTAGTTAAATAACCTTTATACAAAAAAATATAACCACAAAGGAATTAAAATACACAGTGAGAAGGACAGAAAACATTCTTTATTCAAGTGAGTAATTTTGAAGTAGTTGTTTTCAGGATGGATTTCATAATACTTCATAGCAAGTGAGGTGAGTTTCGTACCTGGGACTCACTAGTTGAAAACCCAATGCTCAGGCCGATGACACAAGTCTCTCTAACTTCCTACTGAAAGTAAATTCACAGAATTGTCAACAGACTTCAGTCTCAAAAAAGTATAGCTGAAATAATGTAACATAAGTGAACGTCATTGGTACGTTACTGGTTCAGTGGTATAGTCCTTGGATTCGATTCCCGGACAATGCAGTCCTAAACCTCTCCTAGTTTACTGGTAAACAGCAAGTTCAGTAAAAGCTAGGGGTGGGGGGCTGGGTTAGACATGAAGCTAGTAAACTTACCCTGGAATAAGCCGAATTCGCTATCAAAACTTCATGACCTATGTTCCATGCGAAAATCAAGGAATGAAGTAAACGATTCATATTATTATTATTGTTCCCTTGGGTTCCTAGTGGAACATAGGGCTTCAACTGCACGTCTCCACTTGCTTCTGTCTTCTGCTGTGCTTTTCACTTGCATCCATGTTAGTCCATACTGTTTCAGCTCTTCTCCACAAGATCTCCTCCATGTCAACCTTGGACGTCCCACACGCCGCTTCCCTTTCGGGTTCCACTCGAGCAATGGCCTGACGCACGATGTCACCCAACGACCTCCTCAGCGAGTGTCAAATCCATCTCCACTTTCTCCTGCATATTTGTTGAGCGATTGGTACTTGTTTCGTTTGTTCCCATAGTTTCTTGTTGGTAATTCTTTCCGGCCATCTGATCTTGACTATAGAACCAAGACAGCTGTTGATAAAGGTCTGCAACAGGCTGTTGGAAATATTCTTTGTGACCCGCCAAGTTTCTGGTCCGTATAGAAGAACTGAATGACTTGACGTTTGTATTGAAAATCCGAATTTTGTTGTTGATGCTGAGTGACGAAGATTTCCAGATTGGTTTGAGGTTGATGTGTTTCTCGCCTTTCCGATTCTCGATCTGACATCTTCGTCCGTTCCTCCTGTAGTTAAGACAATGCTCCCTAGATAAGTGAAATAGGTAACCTCTTTCAAATCCCTCCCGTTGATGGTGATTGGCGCAACAATTCATATAAGATTCAAAAAATGCTATATGATTCCAAGTACTTAAATATTTTATGGAAACATTTCATTCACTACTAAGTAATTAGGTGAGTAGTAATGTATACCATTTATTTCCTGAAACTGCCTACTCTGCAATCTCCCTTCATCTTACCAACAAACTAGCATCGAGATTAAGGTTTCACTGTCTGTCAGCATTCTAAAACATCTGTCAACTTTTACGTAATCTAGACATTGATTTAGATTTAGAGGATCATAATTTTCCCATGGGAAGGAAGATTCAAATTCCTCCTCCCTAACTCTTCAAATGTCACAGTGTTATCTACCAACTTTTAAAAGCAAAATATTGTGCAACTATGGGAGGTATGCAAACAATCTTGAAGTAACACTCAGATTATCTTGGTTAACCTGCCTTTATCTACATTATCAAATATGGCGTCTTACGACACAACAAAATTAATTTTAATGAAAACAAAACACGTAGTTCAGCGAAGAGTCTCTTTTCGGCGGCGAATTCATTTTCTTAGCTGTACAATCGCAAATATATATGTGTTATTTTGTATGTATGTGTACATTAAGTTTGTCAAACAAAAATACAATTGGTTATAGTTATTTTAACTAAACAGGTGAAGATTGGTAATTGGAGTTATGTAATACAAAATCATTCAAGAAAATTAGGTGTTAGTGAAATCAGGGTAGTAACAAAGGTGATGAGTTGTCACAAACAGTTGTGAAAAGAAGTTATGTAATAATATGAATAGTTTGATGAGTGAGTTTTACTCAGGATGCACATAGGAACAAAGTAGATAATGTGAAATTACTTAAGAGTTCTAAATGAATACAAGAATTATAAGCAATTAAAGAACAGGCAAAGAAACAAAATTAAGTCATCAAAATCAAAAAAACCAAATCAAATCAAAAAAGTTGTTACCAAGACAGTAGAAGTGGTTGAGTAATCTCCTTTTGTATGCACAGCTCCGGTTTTTCTATGTGAATGGCTAGAGCTTCAGCGATACAAAGAAGGCGAAACCGTA